AGCTTTTCTAGGTCCTCTTCTTTAGGGCCTTTCTTTCATGAGGCTGCAATCAAGATACTGACCAGGGCTGACATCTCATCTGAAGGCTCATCCGAGGAGGGATCCATTTGCAAGTTCATGCAGTGGTGGCTGGCAGGGTTCATATCTTTGGGGGATTTTGGACTAAAGGCTTCATTTTTCTAGCTGGCTGTCCCTTGCCTGGGCATCTCCAGCATGGCACTGGGCTTCAAAGTCAATAAGGAAGAAAGTCTGCTATGAAGAAGGAAGTCAGATTTTTTTGTAATCTAACCCAGAAATCACATCCCCTCAACTCTGAGGTATTCTATTGTTAAGAAACAAGTTACTACTGCAAGTGAGAAAATTATATAAGGCTATGAATACCAGGAGGCAAAGATCATTTGGGGTCATCTTAGAAACTACCTATCACAGGGATCTGGTACCAATAATAAGTACTAATATATGCTAGCTTTTGTTATTTATGTCATTTATTGTCCAATGAGGAGTTGTTGAATTGTGCCATGGGAAGGGAAACAGAAGGCACTGTGGAGGCACAGAAACTGGGATGAAAATTTAAGCAAGGACTCCTCGAGTATCCTTGAGTGTGTATTCTTGAGTAAGTGATACATAAGCAAAGGTTCAAAGGATGAGTTAGGAATCATTAAGCAAAATGCGGGAAAACACTACTCGGGCAGTTGGGAGTGCAAGCATGCAGACCTTAAGGCAGAACAGCGAGGGTGGTATATTTGAAGCATTTGGAGAGAACAGGTTTTGCAAGAACATGAAGAGATCACATGTAGACAAGTCACTGTAAGCCAGATAAGGTTTTGGGATCTAAGGAAATGGAAAGCTTTTGAATTTTCTGCAGGGAAGTTACACAATCACATTTGAAAATATCAGTCTGGTTACACTGCATGGAAATGGACTACAGGCAAGCAAGACTGGACAAAGGAAGACCACTTAGGGGATTTTGCACTGGTCTAAGTGAGAGGTGGTGACACCTTGGGTCAGAATGATAGCAGTGGGAGAGAAATTACAGATAACTTAATAACAGGACATGGTAATTAAGCAGATGTGGACATGGGAGTACATGGTAGTGAGGAATAGGTAAATCATGATCCCAGATTTACCCTTCAAGGAACTGGATAAGTGACAGTTTATTTACTGTCAAAGGGAATATTGTAGGAGGAACATGTTTTGGAGGAAAGGATGACTTTAACCTTGGAAATAAGGAGTTTAAGGAGCCTGGGAGACATTTAAAATTCTATGAGCTCATCCATGAGATGCAGTTTTGAGGACAGAAGAGAGTTTAGAACAGCTCTGAAGTACTTTAGTGTTCAAGAGTTGGGTAGAAGACTTTCCTCTAGGAAAAGAGAATGAGAAGATACAACCAGGGCATTTGGAAAAAAATCAAAACTAATGGGAAAAGAAAATTTTTAGTAGGAGTGTTTGGTCAACTGTATGGATTACTTCTGAAGGGTCAAGCACTGGCAAATGTCCAGAAAACCCCTAGTGACCCCAGGTTATTTATGACTTTGATCAACCTACTTGGTAGAAGGGCAAAAAGGGAAGCCTGGTTGGGTTAAGTTGAGGAGAAAATGGGAAGCAATGAGACAGAAGCAGCAGGTGTAGATACATATAATACATGTGAGAAGTTTGCCAAGAAGAACTGGAGAGATATATGACATAAACTAAGTCAAAAGTTTTGTTTGTTGTATTTGTTTTAAATAGGAGATTTTTGAGGGCCATCAGTGATGGAATTTGGCTGGCAGATATGGAGGGGTGGGTACAGGCGAGTGGGGAGAACTGATAAAGCCATGTTCCTGAACAGGTGGATGTATCTGTAATCAAAAGCGCTAGTAGAGGGGATGGGGTTAGAAGGAGGGCTGTTCCATTTTAACAAGGCAAAGAAGAAAGGGTGGAGACTTCTTACAGGTAAATTTGAAGATTTGTTGTTGGAATATTGAGTGCATTCTGATGGAATGGCTTCTATTGCCTTTTTAACAAACCATTTTCCTTCAAATGTTTAGTAGCCAAGCACTCTAAATCCTTGCTATCCTAAGTGTGGTTTTAGACCAGCAACACCAGCATTACCTGCAAGTTTATTAGAAAAGCAGATCTTGGGTCCCCCTCCCAACATACCTCATCAGAATCAGTATTTAACAAGTTCTGGAGGTTAATTCCTGTGTATCTTAAAGTTTGAGAAGCAGCATTCTAATTGACTTCCTATTGGTAGTATGAATTGAGAAACTGCTAAATTATCAGAGCTACAACCTACAGCAGACAGGTATATTTTGAAATGGCAAACTTTTCTTTCAGCTCAAAAAGTTTTTTGAAAAGACAGTTGTTTTTGCTAGAGAATCCAGCTGAATTGCTGTAAGAAACAACTAGAATAAGTAAAAAGCAAAATATCACAATATTTTTCATCTTTGTATTTTACTGTGTTGTCTGTATTATTTTTTATTCAACAAATATTTATTGAGTGCCTACTCTACACTAGGCATTCTCTTGGTTCTGGGGTTTCAGTCATTGACAAGAAGTCCCTGCCTTTAGGACCTCATTTCTCTCATTTAGCTCACTTTTCTGTCTCCCATATGATACTTCTTGGTATGCATCCTCAACTCTCTTGTTCTCTAACTTCATTGTATTCAGTGGTCATTCATTCATTCATTTATTCATTTGTCCAGTTAATGAACAATTATTTATCATCTACTATGTACCAGGCCCTGTTTTAGGCATTTGGGATTCATCAGTGGTCAAAACAGATAAAGATCCCTGTCCTCATGGAGCTGATACTTGAGTTGATCTGTAGCAGAGGGTTGGGGGAGGTTGCTGAAAGGGAGATGGACACTAAAAATAAAAACAAATAAATTGCCGACCTTGCAAATCCCTTCCCCAGTTAAATCGAACTCTCCGGTTTCTCTGCAGCTGAGCTTGGCTTAAGAGAAACATACAAGCGTGCTGACAGTTCTCAAACCAACAGTTATGACATTATTCTCAAATGGGCTTCCTATCCTGCCTGGTCATTCTAGTCCATGTTTTCTCTCACTCTTCTAGACAATTTGATACTTTCTCCTCTTCAAACCATTGATACCACCTGCGCTACCCTAGATTTTGCTAATAACTTATCAAATATTTTAAATCTTTTTATAAAATTCTAAATTCTGCTGAGGTTATACTCCCCAAATTCTAGAACATTCTTTCTAAAATGTCAATCTCATCATGGCACACTTTTTAAAAACATAATTTAATAAGTAGGCTCCCACTGCTTTAAGGATAAGAATCAAATTTTTTACTATACATTACAGCCTATTGTTTGGGCTCCCTTTTCCACCCATGTTTCATGCCCCCTATATTTCCAGCATATCAACCATAGCAGTAGTTGAATACTTGCATAGGGTAGCTACTCTATAAATGTGTTTTTGAATGAAACATTTCTTAGATTTTCCATTTTTGCCATTTATTCTTCCAATTGTGTTCATAACACTGCCTCAAATAATATTCTATTGAAAGGAGTATCTCAGTGTTATTCCAATAAAAAGAAAATTAATAATCTTGAACCCTTGAAGGCAATAGTATTGGGTCCAGCACCTATTTTTCTGAAGACCCTTTCCATCATCATTTATCATTACTGTAAATACTGAGATAAGGCTGATTTTTATCATAGTAAGAATAGAGCTGAATGCTCTGGGCCTTTACTGGAGTTGAGGAGGTGGAAATAAGGACCACTTGAGAGTCACCCTTCATTAGCTTTATGTAAACCATAGAATTAGAAACTCCTCTGATCTACTTCTGACACATTCTGGGCTGGAGATCTATGGTTGGAAGCAAAGAACAACAACAAAAAATTTTCCCTTAGAAAAAGCTGGCTGTAATTCAAATAGAAGTGGTAACTAAGATGCTATCCAATGAGTTGAGAGGTGTCAGGAGGACCAGAAGCCAATACATAGAGTCTTAGAGATGGAAAAATATCAGAGAAGATCCAGCGCAAGTGCCCAGGCCAGAACAACAGCCCTTCTTTGTCAACTGAGTCCCATAACTTCTTTTACTTCCATCTCTGGCTCCTTTTCATCATTAGAACCCAGCTGACATCAGAATTTTCCTTCCTTATTTTTAAATTAGTTCCCTGGAATTTCTACCCATTGGGCTTAACATTTGACACTTTAAGCTACAAAACTGTTAAATGAATCTCCTTGCTGCATGGCAGTCTCCAAAACACTAGCACCCAGCAGTCTCACGTTCCCTAAGTCCTCTCTTAGCCCTGCCTTTCTGCAGATGGTCTCAACATGCATAACTCTGAAGTTCTCATTCCAGCCACCCCCTCAGGGTGCAGGATAAGTTCTCAGTGTGCCAAGGTGTCAGACAATGCTTAACATGTGATCTGACTAATGAAGAATAATGAGAACGTTCATTTTCCATGATCTATGTTTCTATTATTGCAGCCTAATATCAGGTTAACTTGTTTAGCAGCCATTTTGCACTCTTGGTACCTATTAAAAGCTGTAGTAAATTATAATCCTCTGAATTTTTTTTCCCGTGAAGTGTTGCCAAAGTAGACGGTATCCCAGCCTGCATGTGCACTAGAGTGTATATTAATCCTAGACCTCCCTATGAATCACTGGATAATCAAAGACTGGTGATGAACTAGTGCCATGTGTGAAGTACCATAGAAAGCCCTTGTCCTCCTAAACATGTGCTTTTCTATTTATAAACTCAGCCTTCTCAAAGGGCCTGAGGGACCAGGCTATTTACCTTTCTAGAGGCTAATTTTTATCCACAACCTTCCCTTCCTCTTACCAAGTACATGCACCCTAATCCCTGCTCCTAACAATTAAACACCCACCTAATTAATTTTCTTTCCTCACACCCAAGTTGACTGAGCAGGGATTAGACTTAAAAAACGAAAACCAAAACCAAAAACAACAACAACAACAACTGGGCAGGTCAAGAAACGCAACCCCTCTCCTCCAACCAGAGCTCCTCCTTCTGCCCCCGGGCGGCCTGGAATTGAAGGCCAAAGAGGAAGAGGAGGGCTCACTTGGCTGCTGGCTGCTGGGCCACAGCGCAGGCTCAGCTGCTTTAGTCAGTGGGACTGCAAAGGGTCACTCTAAAAATTGCTGCTGGACTTGTCAGGTGGCTGCTGGTGGCTCCCCACCGGCTTTTCCTTCTCCCTTTCTCCCTCTCCACAGATTGCTTCCCAAGAGGAGTCTGCTGCTGACACTTCATCACCACAAGTCGGGGACGCCACTCAACACAGGAGGGTAAGGAGCTGGGGCCACACTCTCCAATCCCTGTCTTCTAGATCCTGGTGTGTGTATGGCCCTGGGGGTGGGAGCGGGTGGCTTGTGTTTGCAGAGGCATTTCGCTGAAGGCGTCCACCACTGGGTCGGACTGCTCCTGCTCCTGATCTGAATTTGGGAGCTAGAAACCATTTTCTTGAAATCAAAAGAAGGTGATACATTAGGTGAATGTTATACAGAGTCATATAGATTCACAAGAGGATGCTTTAAAAAAGTAGAATTACTTGTAATTTCTAGCAATAATTTTAAGTCTCTAAAGTTTAATGTACACTTTTCTTCCTCTATTTTGTAGTAGAGAGAGGGGAATTTCTTCTCTATTTTTATCAGGAGCCATATAAACATTTGGTCCCCAATAACTTTAGATAAGATGTAATCAAGTTTAATGAAATCGGTAGCAAAAATAAAAATCAGAGAACTCCTCAAATTCTGAGAAATACAACCTATTGGCAAAACAGAAAATTCCCCTTTGTAATTTACAAACCATAAAACAAATGTTTATTCTAAATGTGCACATATGTTTACAGAGCCATACATTTTATATTAGAAATCATGTTGGAAATGAAACAGTAAATTGGACCCCCCCCCACCCCGCACCCGACATTGGACTTAACTTAAAATGGCAAGCAGCAGAGCGGACTGTTTCTATTCTGGGAGTCAGAGCTGATGAGCCCCAACAGATGCAGCACTCGGAATGTGGTAGGGACAGGGAGCGCGCGCAGCTGATTTGCCCCTTTGGCAGGAAGACATTCTGGGATCCCAGCTCATTATGGCATGAGAGTGACAGTGACACTTTAGCACACATGGCTTTTCAGCTCGCCCTGTGTAGTCTCTCCCGGGAGGTAAGGGTGGACGGCAGCAGGAAGAAGAATATTCTTAAATATAAAGTGACAATTCTTTTCTATAATCAGTCCTAGGAGCTTTTCATCTGAGATCTGCTTCAGGCCAGGAGGAACTTGATTTAAGCGTGATGCTTTCACATGGACTTGCCCACTCATAGAAGAGGGTAGAATTATGTTACCATTTCAGTCCAATGGTTCTGGATCTGTTCTGGGTTATGGACATTTCTGAGAGCCTCATGAAAACTCTGGGTCCACTCTACAAAAAAATGCACACAAACACAAATGCACGACATGTTTCCTAGTATTCCAGAAAATGTCATGGAAATCATGGACTCACCAACCCAGAAGGAGTTCGCTGGATAAAATACAGGACACCCAGCTACATTTGAATTTCAGATAAATCACAAACCAGTCTTTAGTGTAAATATGTCCCAAATATTTATGGGATATACATATATCTGAAATTCAAATTTAACTGGACACCTTGTCCTTTTATTTGCTAAATCTGGCAACCCAGACCCAGGAGCATGACTTCCCTCTCTCAGATGGCTTACCCATGTCTGGTCATGAGTTGATTCCTGGGTTCTAAAAGGCCACATTGAGGGGAAAAGTGTTACAGGACCAGATTTTGACAATTCTGATAGAAAATGCCAGCTCTTTGTTCTTAACTCTCTATAAAATTTTATGCTAAAAGGTACACATCTCCTCGTTTGACAAGTGATAATCCTAAAAAAAAATTGGATGTTTTGCTGCAGGTCCATCAGCTTGTTAGAGCCAAATGAACACTAAACCCAATTTTCAGTTCTATGACAGCCAAAGAGACATTAGTCTTAAAAACTAGATTTCCAATCCTCCTTCCCACCGCCCACCCCCAAGCCCGCTAACTTGACCTCCCAACCTTAACACACACAACAGACTAGGAAAGAGAGAGAGTTATTTTAGTAAAATTTTCAACTAAACCAAAACCAAAGATTCTAGCACTGGGTCCTTGCATCCTATATCCAGGGATGGAAAATAGAAGTTAACTTGATGTACAGAGTCTGTATACTTTATTGATAAAAGTCAGGCACAGGCCTCTGCCTCAATTGAGTCATAAGAAATTGATAATATTTGTCTTTAAACAAAAATTGATAATTCCATATCCAGCCTAATACTTACAAGGAAGTATTTGATTCTTTGATCAACAAATTCATGCAAGACGTCCTTGAACCTGTTTCTATTTTTGGCTTACCAACCTATTAGGGTTTCCTATCTTTACCACCCCTAAGAGGATAAAGAAATCCACAGACTCTGTTTATCCCCAGATAAATTTATCTTACATTTAAATGGTCGAGTCTTTTCTTTCAGTGTTTGGAGATATAAAGAACCATTTCATATTCTCTATATCCAAATTTTGAATTCATAAATCTCAGTCCTACCTCACTCAATCTCTATCTTCTCATATTGGAAAGAGCTGACTTTTTAAACTGATACAAATTTTAGCCTACCCTGGATTTAAAGGAGCCCATATAGGGGGTCAGGGTTCAATCTGGGTTTGATTGTGACCTTGCATGACCTTGGTTAAGTTTTTAAAACTCCCTTTGAACCTTAATTTCTTCATTTGTACAATGAACTTAATATAACCTATATTTTAGGATTTCAATGATGCTTAAATTTTTTTTGAAAAGCATGTAAAATACTTACCCAGGGCTTACCACACAGTAAGCCCCCAATGAATAAATGCTAGCTATATAATTATTGTTTTAGGTAGAAATTTATATTTGATACATAATATAGATTCATGCTTGGGGATTTATATTTAAGAGTTATTTATTAAATTTATTATATACTTAAATTTGGAAAATACAAAATGTGATGAAAAATGTGATGGTTCCCATAACTGCTGAGCTGTTTATCAGGTGTTGAATACATAACACTGTCGTCATGGAAATGACACAAGAGCCAAGATCTGCAGTGGGCAGTCAGAGGAGAGCATGGAATTGCATCTCTGTTACCTTCTGCCCAGTTTCTAATGGAGGAGACCCAAGAAGCTGCTTTGGGTGATGGTGGATGGAGCAGAGATGGGAGGAGGCTGTGGTGTCCAATACCAGAGAAGGAGAATTCTCTGAGTGACCTCCACAGAATGAAGGGATAGCTCTGGTAGCATAGGGAGCCTTCTACCAGCCACTGCACCCTGTGTAAAGTCTCTTCTTTCACCCAAAAAAGGGAAGGGATGTGACGGAACTGGAAATGCCTCCAAATGGCCGCTTATCCCATTACGCAACCTCAGCGGCTGTGGCTAAGTCTGCTCTTACCACCATGCCCTACTATGGTAGGGGCTGTGTGAACAGTGCAAGCCACCAGTAGTCTGGGGTGGAGCAGGGGAAAGGAGGGCTCTACATAGATCTTCTCTTTGACCCCAAGGGACAACTCAGTAGAGCTCTCTGGTTTGGGAAGGAAAATCAAGCTTTTTGTGCTTTAGGAAAAAAACAGAGAAACCGTCTTAAAACTCTCCCACCCACGGGCAACTCAGCAAGACTGTGCTCCTCATTATCCACACCGACCGTTAAGTCCAGTCACAGCCAGCCCTTGCTGTATGGTAACCATGGTGCTTGCTCCCACTACCAGGCCTGGACACAAGGCACTGACTTGTTAAAAATAAATAATCAATAAATCAATCAAGCAAGCAAGCAAGCTTTTTGAAACACAACAATGATAATCAAAACGCTCAACTTTGTGGTAATACATAATTGAATCAATAAGAATGGAATGTTTTCAAAGTTTATTACTCAACATCTAAGCTATACTCTCTATATAAACATATGTATGCAACTTATTTTTGTAACCTTTTCCTTGCAGCGACGTTTTGGCTGTCATTGTGACCATCATAAATGATCACTAATAATATGACCCATGGGTGCATTGTGAATGTTTGTATAATTGTAGGAAAAACAGTGAGAGTTCCTGTACAAATTGCTTTTGACTACATGTTCCTGTATAACCTAATGAATAATACATTTTTGTAAATACTCAGTTTTTTCCTAACTGCTCTCTATTAGCCAATACAATCAGCCTCAAAGCCCAGTGCCATGACCAAATGAATAAGTAGAAGTTAATTACATTGTTCTCATTACCTTTAACATATCTACTCCTAGGCTGCCCTTTTATAAGTTCTTCCTTAAGGTTGCCCTTGTTCTTCATTTAAATGTGATTGTGGGAAAATGCTGGTTGATCAAGTGATGTGGTGAACATTAAGTGTGCATGCATGCATGCATGCGCATATGTGTACTGAGCGTGACGTGTCTTGTGTCTGTACTCTCCAGAAAGATCCCAGTGTGAGAGGGTGTTGAAGGCTTCCCTGTGTGCTAGTAAGAACAGAGCCTCTTGGGTTTTGACCCCCCATAATAAAAAAGCTAGTCTTCTCTGCACTAAGGCCCAGAGCACACAATATAGTTGCCCTTACCATTCTCTGGCTGGATTGCAGTCCTTCTTCAATTGAGAAAAGCAGTGGCTGGAGCTCCAAGCAGGGCTGGTGGAAATGGAAGAACAGAGCCAGCGGTAAAGCATTAATCAGGCTATCGGAGCCAGTGAACATCTTTGTAGCATAAAGGACGTCAGAGCTTTGCACAGCTTCATAGAATTGGCCCCAATCCTCAGACTCCTCTGAGGGGTCTGCAGTGACCTTATTGGAGAAACATGGCACAGACTGAGAACGCCTGGGCAGGTGGATGGATGGCTCCATCATCAAGGTGCAAGCCTAGAACTAGAATGTCATGGAAGCTCTAGTAAAGAAAGATAATTTATGAACTTATCTGGGAAAATACAGCACCAGGAAAGGAAGCTGTCCACAGGCCATAATTTCAATAGTCTCTCTCTTTTTTTTCCTATTTACAATAAATTTATTTTACTAAGTGTTTGGGATTATAGCTCACTTTTACTTACGATGATTAATTAAAAATTCATCCAGAATCTGGAGATGGTTAGGTTAGAACCTCACATCCTACTCACTCTTTTTATTTTTCATTTTTATTTTTATGATGATAGAGTAAGGTTTTTTCATTGTTTAATTGAATTTATAGGGGTTACATTGGTCAATACAATTCTATAGGTTTCAGGTGTATAATTCTGTAACGCGGCATCTGG